ACTGTGCATTTTAATAGCATAGAAACAATCCATCTGGCTGTACGCATCTCAGCTCTTAGATCCCAGCCGAGTCCACAGGAGGCATAGCATGGTAGATGCACAATGACTAGAAACAGCTCAGACAATGAACACATCCACACCAAGGAAAGCCTCAAAGTTGAACAGAGCTATAGAAACAGACGAAACTAAATTTGCAAGGTAACCATTTCCAGGTAAGTTAGGAACTTTTCACCTGCGCATGTCCCTTTAAGCAAATTTTATATAAAACTTGGAAATTGTTGGGAAAAGGAAAAAACAAAACAAGACAATACCCCAGCTGCTCCAGGAGTAGCTACTGGGTCTTACCTGGACAAATCCTAATGAACACAAATGTAGCTGCCCCCAAGTGCAAAACACAGTAGCTAGTGAGAAGGTCTCCATTCTCACAATTAAGTTAACTTTCAGTTTGTACAAAACAAACCTGGCAGCATCTATGGGTTTTTTCTCCTTGCTTCTTTTAATCACAACAGCAATAATTAGCAGAAAGTGTGTTGGCATCCAGCATTAGACTAGAATTTTAGCCAGGAGGTGAGAGAAAAGCCAAAAACCATTCATCCTGACACAAACATACCATTCCCACGAGAGAATGCTAATTGATTTAAGCTCGTTTCTACAACCTTCAAACTGGAAGGGCTGCAGATAATCTCCAGGCCTAAGTTACTCCTCCCCACCTCTCTCACTTGACCAGATATCAATTGGAGAGGCTAATTTTTGGTACCATTTTCCATCTGCTACAGTAATGGGTGCTTTTCATCAGTATGACTTTCTTGGGGAAACCAGTGTTAATGGCAGACAGGTTATGAAAGGAGACACTGGGACCAGATGGGGCCACATCTCAGTTTCCTAAAGCTAAGTTTAGGGGAAGCTCGGGGTTTGATGTCTGTGATAGATTCTAGCAAGTTCTAGCTTTGAGAGACAGGAAAAGGGAAAACAAGAAAGAGGAAGAACAAACATACACTGCAGACAAAAGACATGAAACTCTAAAGCTCAAAAACCATCTTTGTTTCCTTTCCTAAAACCTTTCACAGGCTACTCCGGAAAACTGGAAGTTCCCATCGGTGTTGGCAAATGGCAATGATAATCGCCCTAGAAAAGGGAGAGCTCAGTAAAATGAATTGAGACTTTTTGTTACAAATGAAGTCATTTTTCAAAAAATGTTACATTAAAGTCTGTTGGTACGGTTCATTGTTGTTAAACAGAATGAAAATGTCACATCAATATACAAGATCTGAACTGAAAACTTTGCCTGAGACCCTGTAATATGAAAACAAATGAATAAGAAAATGATTAAAACAGTCTCCCCTGAAGGAAACAATTTTAGGTTTAGATATTATTACTGTAAGGAAAAAAAATCCAGACTACACTATTCTAAACTCACCATCTCTACAGTGGTTCATTAGATATTTATAAGGACAGAAAACACCACTACGAGTACACACTACATGAACACATATCACATTTTTAAAATTTCACATACACATGTTCAGGATACAAGAAGATTATAAATGTTATGGCTTCGCCACTCTCTGCAGACATGATTCACTCTCATTAGAGTGCGGTTACAATGAGTACTGTGGATAGGGAACTCTTAAAATTGAATTGGCTAAATGGAGTCTTAAAAGCTATAGTCTTAATTGGTTCACTTGCTACTTACCTAAGCTGTATTTATCAGAAATTTCTGTAAATACAGTGACCTAAAATGTACTACCAGTGCAGTGAATATTGTGGTTGCTTTCTATTTCTTTGACTTTTCTATGACCACAATTGGCATTTACTGTGAATGAAAAAGTTAAGAGTAAAAATTGAGAAGTTAATCTGTCTTTTAAGAGTTTGTGTCTTATATATATATATAAAATATATAGACAGAACCAGGATAAGTCTTGCTTTCCCAGAGGTTTAAAGACAAGGTATCTACAGACATTTAGAGGAAAAGAAACACAGGATCATGACATCAAACCACGGTACTGAATGTCATGTAGAAATTAGAAAGGAAGTGTACTATGAACGTACAAAATTAGGCACAAATTATAGGTGATGGCTTCTTGTGCAGAGGTGAAGGATATGGCCAAAATAGCTCACAAATGTGCAAATATAATTTTTTTTTAAAAAAAGATGATTGAGGGAAAAGAACCGACACTTCATTCAGACTCAGTGTGCAGAGTGAAGCATCTGAGTTCATGGTACACTTAGGACAGTTGGTCCAAGTGAAGGAAACATACCCCAACTGTGACTGGAAATATGAACTTACCACAACCTCAGTGGTGATCAAATCTACCAGTCTTGTCTTTCATCCAAAACATTTTCTGACCATTGCTGACTCTTAAACATACCCCGTTCTGAACTTTTTGCATCTGAACAAAATCACTACCTTGCTCAGCTCAGCTCTACAATGCTGATGAGTCCAAATTAAGTCTTGCAATTCTGCCATTCTATATATGCCATTCTTACTGGCACCACCTAATGACAACACACTGTGGGTATTTCTCTAATGTCCAAACCACACATATCTACCAACGTCCATCTGGTTGATCCACCCATGCCGGGTAGAGCACATACTCAAGGCACCACCCCAACCAGAAACTGACACCATGGACACAGGTAAACAGTGTTTCAGGTAGTCTGTCTGGCTGTCCACCATAACATGGGACACTATGTCCTACTTTTCTATGTAACCACTCCCATGCACAGATATGAACCGAGATGTGGGGAGAAAGAAGAAGAAAAATGGGAGGAAAGCTGGGGAAAACATTAGAGGGAAGCAGAGAGGAAAACAGAATCAAATCTGGACCATCCCACGCCATTGGACTAGCACTGGGTGCCCAGTTCCAAATCCTTCACTGGCAGTTTGAGTCCCAGGGAAGAGGTTCCCAGGGGGTCGATCATGTTCTTGTAGCGTTCCCCGCGGTGTTGAGCTAAGAATGGGCCCCAGTCTGGCTGTGGGGAGCACACCAACTTCAGCCTCTGCAAAGAAGCCAAAGACACACATGGTCACAGAAATAATGCACCTTCCTTCCCTAGGGACCACCCACCCATCCCCAAACTGTTTGTGACCACATTTGCCAGAGCCTCTACTTGAGCCAAGGAGCCCCCGATCAAGAGAGGCAGTTAGGCAGATCAGCCCTAATAATAAAGTGGGCAAGGGACTTTAAAGAGGAGACTTAGGTTGGTTCACTTCAAATTATTTACATCACCCTTCAAGCAACATTAGAATTGCTCTGTGTTTGCCTTGCACAAGATTAATAGTGGATAAAGGGCCCAGATTTTAATTATACATTTTTTCCCTCCAAATGAAGAGAATCCATAAGCTTGTCTCTCCACTGCCAAACACAGTCTGCAAAAGACATGTGCTCAATTACTTTTGTTCTATAGTCTCAACAGTGGGTTGCTACAACCAAATAATTGGATTTTGCTTATCATATTTCCCAAAAGCATATAAATGAAACGGGGGGGAAGGGACCAACCCCAAAGACACATTGCCAAGAGTGAGCAAAGATTTTAATTATCTGTTGACAAAAATATACATTTCTGATTTGGTTCAGCCATGTGGGTTCTTGTGGACAAGCTAAAAAAATGGGAATGTCTCTAATCCTTCAACTGAAATTTTTATGGAAAACATAATTTTACTGGAACATTTTCTAGCAAAAAGGAGAGAAAACATATTTCTGACTACATAAGAGGGAACAATTATATGTTTATTACCTATTAAAGTGAAGCTGGTTCTTATAGCTGTTAGTTTAATCTCCCCTTAATCATCAGTTTGCAACCTTTGTGTCCCAAATCAACCATAATAAATTTATGTAGCCGACTCATCAGTTTAGAGGATTTCAGCATAAGACAAAAGTAGCAGAGGCTAAACCAGGTTCTGTTCAGAGGGAAAGAGATCTCTGTGCCAGTTGGGGAGGAGGTATACCTGGGGCCATCCCTGCAGGTCAATGGGGCCACAGTAATTTATCTCAAGGGGATAACAAACAGAATTTCTTAAGGATGCAAACTGGAATAAGCTTCGGGAAGAGGATGCCCCTACCTCCCTTGACCATCGTCGGTCCAATGAAAACAAAAGCTCCCTCCTGCCAAGTGGGCTTTATGCTGTGCACTTACTCACACCTTATTCCCACTGGGCTTCTCCCTTCTGGAGCTCTGGATGCTCCAGAGGACTCTCCCTTTTTCAACCTGGCTGACCTAGAGCAAAGCCCATATGCTGTTCTCTGCCCTCTATTGGCAGGTGTTTCTTCACCTTGGTCTAGTCCAGTGCTTCTTAAACTTCAGCGTGCATCAGGGGCTTATTAAATTACAGATGCCAGGGTCCCACTTTGCCGAGATTTAGGTTCAGTGGAGCTGCCTGGAGCCTAACAATTTGCATTTCCAACAAGCTGCCAGGTGATGCTGATGCTGCTGGTCCCTAGATCAAATACTCAGTAGCACTGGTCTAGTCAAAAATGCCAGATCCCTGGACCTTCAAGGCAGAGGCAGGGCTGATCAATTCCTAGCACACCTGAGCAAGTGACTTCTCATAAATATCAAAAGCCTGACCACACTTCACTAGTGGCTCAACACATGGCAGTCCCCTTCCCATCCACTCTGGAGTAAAGGTGGGGTTTCTTTGCATCACAAATGGGAAATGGGCCCAGCAAGGGCTAATTGACAAAGACAGACAAGTCTCGCCTCATACCATCCATGTCCTAGGACTCTCATTACATTCTTCAGGAATAGTGACGTTTTAATCAGCTTGGATCACCTCAGCCATCTCTAACACAGCACCACAGGAGGGGGTAGTGATTTTAAATTTAATGGTAATAGATGTTTGGGAGGGAGGAGGCTTGGACAGAGAGGAACCTCAGGAAAGGGGGAATCTGATATGCGGTTAAAAACCAAACACTGAGATTTAAACTGTGGGTGAGGGGTGAGGAGGAGAAAGAGCAGACACTTGATCATTCATTCCCCAGAGCTGTCACCACACTGATGAATAGCATAATAACATCTCAGCCTGTGGATTGGCTGAACCCCTCCATTAGAGGAATAATGTGTAATAAAAATGGGTTTAATAGAAACAGTGGCAACTGTAATCACTTAATCACCAAGTCTCCCCCTCGAGTAAGTTTACTGAATCTTCTGTTTTTTAATGCACAGAGCTTTCTAAGGAAAGCTTTCAGGAGCTCTCCCTTAGGAGGGGGTGGAGGGGAGAGAAATGGATAGAATTACCTCAATAAATCTGCCAGGGGCCAGATGCATTTTTATCACAAACATAATTGGGATCCAGATAACAGAACAGGCGAGCATTAGCCATCCAAGCACCATGGACCAGTTAGGGTAGCGGTAGGAGCCATAGGTCATGGGCTCCCACTGGTAAAAGCTGAAGCAAAGGATAAACTGGGAAGAAAAAAGAGACATGTACGTTAGGGTGCTGATGTGAATTATTCATGTATTAAACCCCTGTTATGACTTTGTGCTTTCATATCTGTTACCTCATTTTATGCCTAGGATTAATCCACTTTCCAAATGAAGATAGTGAATTTCAAAGAGATGGAGATGACACACACTTAGCTGCTGACTGTGCATCTGTCGTCCCCTGGGAACTGAGCAATGACGGGCTGGGAAGACACATGTAGAGAATGTACATCAAGGTGACTAATGTGTGCAGGCGGGGGGAGGGTGTTTTTAAGGGGTTGTCTGTACTTTCTACAATGGATAATCAAGCTTTTGTTATAAGAAGGAAACCCGTTAAGTTTATGTACTTTATTTTTTTTAAATTGAGTCTAATTTGCTTTCTCCTTGAATGAGGAATGGCCCACTTCCAGGAGCTGCCTCTAAAGCTGGCTGAGTGAGACCTAGTGTGGCCCCCAAGCATTGACTGAGCCAGAAGTGTGGTCCTATAAAAAGTTCTGGGACAAAGAGAATGGATGCCCAGCTCCCCCTCAAATGACTCAAGGTGAACAGGCGTCACCACCAAACAATGAGCTGAGAGCCCAGAGACCAGAAAGCCAATCTTGGCTCTTCTGCTAATTAGCTAAGGGACCTTTATGGCTCAGGCTTCTCTGCCATAAAATGGATATATTTCACACTGTGTATACAACACAGGGGTTTTCTGCGAACGGTAGTCTGGTACTTACTCGAGTCCCCCCTCCATTTTAAGAGAGGTAATGATTTATTTTCTGCCCATTATCTCCTGTCACTGCACACTTCAGCTGGAAACAACCACGAGAACCCCTCTGAAGACTTGGCCAATGCAGCCAAAGAGAAACAAGGAATGCGTGTGCGGAAAACAGGCACCTAAAAAGATGGAGCAAAGGTTCTATTCTAACTGCTCTAGCCAAGCCTTTGGGGTGAAGTGGGGAGGGAGTTTCATTGAAAATTATGTGGCACCTGCATTCACTCTGCCTATGGCAACATCAACCTAGAATAATCTACCCACATAAGTCTTTTCCCCTCCCCACCTCTCTTGGGTCCTATCTTAAGCTGTAAAATAACTGCCCAAAAATTATTAGAGGGAATTATGTCAGGAAAGATAATACATGGAAGTGTTTTGGAAAAGTGTGAAGCACTATGCTAATGTAAGGCATGTATATTATTGCTGCAAAGCCCAGGCTGCCGGGGCAAGTGGTTATTTCAAGCAACAATAATTCAATATATTGATTCAAAGCAACATGAGCCTGAAGACAACTGTTGGAAAAAAAATGCTCCTATGGAAAGAGATACCTACTCTAGGCCCCTTTTTAAACATTTGCCCCTAGAGTTATAAGCTTTATTAACTAGTCCATTGGAAGTATGGCCTAATGTAATTATGGTAAGCTCCTCCATTTCATTTACTGTATAAATAGCAATACATCTGCTTATGTGTGTGCATAACTCAGTAACGTGACCTGACTATGTATATAATAATTGCATGGAGAATATTTATAGCTCTATAAATCCACAAAGGCACATATAAAAATGATCAATTTTATTTCACGGGCTCCTAAGTAATTTAAACCCATAATCTTAGCCTATTCCTGCACACCACAAATATCCATTTTACAGAAGGGCAAAAGGCAAAAAATAAGTGTTGGTTGTGCAAATATCACATGAAACTCATCTGTGCAAACTGGTTGCAATAAATTTCCCTCTGTCAAGTCAGCTTGGAAAAAACCCTGCCCTCAGATGGGCTTGTCCATGAGAGATGATAATTTAGCCACTAAGTCAGGGCTACCCTGACCTTTTGCTGATGGCAGCCAAAGAAGGCACTGGAGAGACACTCATTGGTTGGCAATTAACCACTTCTAATTGTCCCTAGTTCCCAAACAACACAGAAGGGAACTCTGGTTCAGGATATTCTCTGGGACCTCTCCACAACTTTCTGACATGAGTTTTATATGGAAATCAAGTAAAGCACAGCATAGTTAAGGAACTTTCTCAAAAAATGCAACAATTCCCTAGAATTCCTCTTCCCAGACATTCCACTCATAGAGAAGATTAGGACTATTTTAATCCAAAACTGTCCAAACTTCACTTGGGTATGAAAGCACTGGGTTTTTTAGAAATGTACTAGAGCACAAGCTTGAAGCCTAGACAGCCCTGGATTCAATTCTTGGCTCTGCCACCTGCAAGCCCTGTGGCCTTCGGCAAGTTCCTTAACCTCTCCAATCCTCAGTGCACAGATCTGTAAAATGGGGAAAGAATCACCCACCAGGCAGAGTGATTGATAACTTCAGAAACAATGTTTGTAAAGTGCCTACTTCATAATAGACATGAATAAATAGTAATGCTGATTATTACCATGTGATATGTGTCTGCAGAATATAATAAAATTCTCTGAAACTTAATCTCTTCTAGGACAGGAAGAAAGGAAGGCAGAATCTAGGACAGACTCTAACTTTTGTTTCAGCCAAGAATAAATCAAGAGTAGTCATAACTGGGGAAAACAGTGATGCTCGGCAGAGACAGGGAACACCAGAGGCCAGAGTGTCTCTGTATGCAGAAGGCGCTTGACAGACCAATCCCTCCCACCAGTTAGGAAAATCCTAATTGGTTCTTCATACACATTTCAGTCCTGCATTCAAGAGATTGCAAGCCTGTCTTAATCCTTTTCAACTTTCATGTCCGAAATTTGGTGGGATTTTCAGACAAATTACAGCCTCTAAAATATGGGTACGAATGTGGGCCTCCATACGATGTTTGTGTCCAAGCAGAAGGAGATATAGCTGAATGTTTTTTCTGGCCAAACCTCCAGCTTTTCAGAAAGAAATTGAGGTGTTTTGATTAAAACTTTCTCTGTGAGAGTATAAAAAAGAAAAATATACATTTTCTTTGCAGTTGTACTTTCATCCTGACTTGTTCTCCTTTAGAGAAGCTGGTACTTACTGTGTTTTAAAATGAGGGTCTTAATCTGGTTTCTAGTGCCACCTATTGGGCCCATCAGGAATTACAGACAACTTTCTCTGTCCTTGGCAATGTGACACCCACAACAAGCCAGAGGAGGCGGGAGAAAGGCAAGCTCTCCATCAATTACTGTGCTTGGAGAGCAGAGCAGACCAAAGCTGGCAGCTTATGGCACAATAACAAAGTGACAAGATATGAATGTAAGTCCTTATGTGCATTTACTGACACATGAAGGACTCTGAACTTTAAAGAGATGAATGTCAGATGATCCCAAATGTCCTCATCACACTTGAGAATGACAAGATAGTGTTCAAAAGCAAAAGAAAGGAACAATAAAAGTCTAATTAATGCTATATTAGTTGTACAGAGGCTATATTGAGTAGTGGTTAAGAGCATGTGTTCTGGAGCCAGACTGCCTGGGTTCGAACCCAGGCTGCTGCTAATTGTTAGGTGTGCAATGCTAGGCAAATCACACAAGCTCTTGCTTCAGTTTCCCTATCTGTAAAATGGAGGTGATTATAATGCCCGCTTTAAAGAGCTACTGTGAGGGAGAAATGAAGAAATACACACAAAGCACTGTGAACAGAGCCTAGAATGTGGTTAGCAAGTAGCAAATGTTGGCTGGGATTGTTATTTGGTATCAATACATGAGACAGACTGATATAATAGGAAATATTCCATAGGAAAATTCCACAGGAGCATAGGAAATGCTCCAAAGACCCATGCATGAGTTTCAGCTCTGCACCTGACCAGCTAGGCACCTTTAGGAAAGACGTTTCACCTCTCTGAACCTCAGTTTCTTCATCTGAAAGGCAAGGATAATACCCATCCCACCAGCTTCCCAGTGTTTACATGTAAAACACCACATACACATGCAAGGTACCATCTGCTTGATAAAGCACGCAATCCTTACAGTTAAAATGGTTGGAGTTACAAATGCCCAGCAGACTTTCCAGAAAATGTTGGGCTGGAATCCAATCATCATCTCTATATCTTCACAGAATCTTTGCAAGCCTACAAATAGACAAACAGAGAGTATGAGGTGCAGTGCAGGGGGTGAGGCAGGGGCCGGGGACAGGCACCGGAGCCCCTCACTCAAGCGCTAGGTGTCATCCTGATCCCTATTATGCAGAGAACCATCAGACAAATGACTCACTGCCAGGAAGATTAGGGCAGACTGAACATTTAAATAGATATTAAATATTCTCTGCAGTGAGGTTCAAAAATGTCAGCCCATGGCGACATCTAAAAAGCTCAGTTCCAGCCCAGCCCAGGCATCTCAGCACTGCCACAGCCTGGCATATTCACATATGTGGCTGTTTTCTGAGGTGACCTTGTGTGGTTAGCAACAACTCTGGCAAAACCAATTAAGATCCTGGTCAATAAGCAGAGTGTATTACAAAAGCCTTGGAATTTAGAGCAAAAGTCACTGTACATTGTTTTTTGTCCCTCATCCTCCCAGTGACACTCTTCCAGGGAGACCATTTATCTTTGTTTTGTGTAAGATGATAATGTCAGTCAAAAACCAACATAAATTCCAAGTGGCTGTTGCCCACTTTGTGGGAACTCAAAGGACTGCCGTCTTCCTCACTTTGTACCCCCAAAATACATACAATTATCATTTGTCAATAACCAATTTTTAAAAGAAATAAATAAAAAGGAATTTACAATGGAAAAAATATATATATGCTCCTTCTTGTGTGTGTGTGTGTGTGTGTGTGTGTGTGTGTGTGTATATATTTTTTTTTTAATGACCAGTAAGTCTTAACCCTTGACTTGGTGTTGTCAGCACCACACTCTCCCAAGTGAGCCACAGGCCAGCCCTCTTGTGTGTACATTATACTTTGATTTTAAAATTTACCCAAAAAAGTCCACTCTAGCCATGACCATCAAAATAATTGAGACCTCTCATGGCCCTCATCTCCTTAAATTTGCTTCTACTTCCTGCCAAACTCAGACCCAGGATGTCAGCCAGCCCTCTAAACTGAATCTCCAGCCCCCCGACAGTAGCCATCACAGAGGACAGCCAGGTCCCAAGTGTGCTATAGAGTGGTCTGTGCTGGGAACAGTCTTGGCGATTCACCAAGGGCCACCTCTCAAATCACCCTGAAATTTCTCAGGATGCAGCTGAGCTTCCCGCTCTACTTTAAGGTAAGTCTAGTAGTGGTCAACCACAAATGTGTACAGTGGCAAGAGCACTAGACTGGGAGTTGGATCCAAGAGTTGGACCCCAGTTCTGCCTGTAACTCACTGTGTGACCTTAGGGAAGGCATTCCACCTCTCTGAGTTTTTCCTGGTTTAATGAGGGGACTGGGCCAAATGAGCTCTTAGGGGAGGTCAGGCCTGATGCAAGGTGGCTCCAGGTTGCTTCCTGGGGTCTATAGGCAAGAATGGCATGCTTTGAGCAGTTGGCCTGACCATCTCTGGATGTGTTTGCTTGTTTGTTTCCTGTAGTATTTTATCAAACACCTTCAAGTAAGTGGCCTCTTGACACTGGGCCCATTGACACAAGTGTTGGGGGGAGAACCGAAGAGATAGAAGTCAAAGTTGAGGCTATTATAAACATACACAAAACACCAAAAGCAGATCTCAGTTCTTTAAAAAAAAAAAAATTCTAAAATTTCTGTATCAGCATCAATCTTGTTGCCAAGTTGTTCCTCTCCACTAAACCATCCCCAAAAGATGGTGATGTGTGGCTTGACTGGGGACACTGATGTGATAGAGCTCAAGGTTAGACCTGAGGAAGACATATGGTCAGCACCCTACAGGAGGAGGGGTTAGAGGTAAAAGTGCTCAACTTCCCCAAAGAGGACAAAGAGCAGGACCTCAAGCTACAGAAAAGAATGGATGACAGGTGTGCAATCTTCAGTAAGCAGGAGCTTGATGCAGAGGTGCAGTCTCAGGACAGAGAGTGAAAAGGCTTGAGTTCTGGGCCAGTTTGAACCCTGGAAAGTCATCTTCCTCCCTGGACCTCACACAATGGCTCTGAACACCTGGCCTCTGCCTCTGATAGTTGCAGCTCCTGTGATTGCTCTGCCTGTTCTGCCAACTTGCAGGCTGTCGCTGCAGATGCAGCCCAGGGGCACAGCTGGGAGCCTCCAGGCAAGTCTTCGGCCCTGTGCCCAGAGTCCAGTCCTCCAGGCCCTGCAGCCTCTGACTTGCTCTAACTCCCATCCAGCCCCAGCCCTCCCATGCCCCGGCTCATAACCTCATCCCCACCTGAGTACTTTTCTGAACCAACAGCTGTCTTCATATTAGGCCTGTGTTTATATGGCTTCCCCTACCTGCTCTGTTCTTTCCACAGATCCAAATCCATCTTGGCTTCGAAGCCTAACTCATGATAAGGAAATTGTTCATGGAGCCTTGAGCATAGACAAGAGACTTGCCTGCTGCCTGACCTTGAGCCTGGAGGGGTTAAGATGCAAATAGTCAGGCCCCAAAAGGGATCTGAGCAGCTTCTCAAAGACTAGTCTGAATTAGCAGAAAAACAACAGGCAGGAAACAAAGATGGCAAGTGTGTGGTCACTCTTTTGGACTCAACAAACAGATGTGAAGTGCAGAAATCAGCTGTAACAAATTCCATACAACTGACCAACTCTGGACTGGGAAGTGTAGGACTTGCTTTGACTGACCACTCACTTCCCTGTGTGCAATGCTGTGGCTTTTGCCCTTATAAGCTGCACCCCTGCCCTTTATCTGGACGTAGTCTTCATGGGGGCTGCTGTCCCTCCTGCATGGCCGGGGCCAGCTTCCTGGCTCATGAGCTGTGTGGTCACACAGAGCACTGTGCTCAGAAGGGTGTTGCATCTGGTTTAATGCTCTCCTCCTGCCCATTTTGAAATTCTTAATAATTTTTTAATAAGGCACTTCATTTTTATTTTACAGTAGGTCCCACAAATTGCATCTCCAGTGCTTTGTACACCTATGGACAAGTAAATGCCCAAGTTATTCTTTTATAGGTAATGTGAAGACCCCACCCCTCAGGGCCAAATTCCTCTATGTTGACTCAAGTTCTCTCTTCCTTGGTTGGTAATCAAGTAAGATTAACACTCCCTACATCTTAGTGTTTACTTCTTTTATATTCTTGTATCTCTAAGATACCCATCTCTGGGCAGCAACTGGGCTCATAGCTAGGGATTCACTACTTAGCACTGACCTTCTCAACATTTTACATGTTTGATCTTCCTCGGTAGCTAGTCAGCAAGTTCCATCAATGTAGGAAACTACCCCTACCCTCCCCACTTTCCTAGGAGCACACAGGGCATACAGTGAGCATTGAATAAGTGCCCGTTTATTTACTCACATACATTTACCTGTGTGATTATTCAGGGACTGAAGCCTCTCATTCCTAATATTTACTGAACCTCAGCAAATGGAGCTGGGGAACTTACGCCCTGAAACAGGATGTGGATACAGTGACATTTCACCCAAAAACATAAGTGAAAATGGACCTCCGGTGGGTGAGGTTATGGAGGAAAAAAATAAGATTGAGTTTGTAGAGTTCTGGGAGAACTATTCGTTTGTTTTTGTTTTGTTTTGTTTCTCTTGTTTTATTTTCTTTGGGGCTTAAAAAAACCTTGCCGAGTTCAGCCAGCGGGATGGGCAACAGGAACTAAAGACAGACATATTCCATCATCTAGAAGCCGTTGCCTGGTGTGACTCTAACGTGCCACACAAGGATGTGGACAGAAACAGTCTGGGGAGAGGGACGTGAAACAAGCAGTTGACAGAAGTGGAAAACAGATTGAGACCATGTCACATGTGGTATCGAGAGGTCTTGGCAGTGACTGTTCAATCATTGTTCCCCCAGCCAGAAGGTCCCTGTGATGGCTCCCAGGAAAATGCAAATCACTTTTACAAAGTGACTCTACTTAGGTAAAAGTCTATTAAAGGGCTCACTTCTACACCAAACTCAGGGAGTTCCACTTTTGAACCTGGATGTCTCAAACCCAGCTGTTAGCCTCTGAGGTATGTTGACATGTGAACATAGATCAAGCTATTTTAATCTAAGACAAAACTTGAAAACTGTACCCATCCTATTTCAAGTGTTTGAATGACATTCTCTAGAATTTAGAGACTATTAGAAGCAAGAAGAAAACACAAATCTCTGCAACTCACTTGCTTATTTTTTAAATTCTGTGCACCAAATAAGTCAGTTTCATTTTCATTCTTCACAGATTCATGTTCAACTGTCTTAAACTAACCTTGCACTGGTTTGGGGCTTCACTATCTCAATAAAAAATGCACTTTCCTCTGGGGCATAATTTACACATTTGTGCAGGCATTTTCTTTCATCCCTAACAATTATGTTAGTTTATTTCAACTATTTCTTCCTGAGATTCACTTCTTAAAATTCCATCCAGGTCCAAATCAGAGGTTCACATCCACATCTGACACTGCAGAAGTCAAGTTCAACCTGAGCTCAGCACAGAGTCAACCTGCTTCTGGAGGCTGGCCCAGCATCAGTACTTTTAGAGACCAGGGGATTTCCTGGGTACTTCCTTACAACAATTAGCATAGCTCAGATACTGATTTATTTTTTCCTTCAAAACCAAGAAATCTACTACCAGATTGGGGGGGGGGCAGTTATTTAACTTCTAAAAACAGAAATGTTCAAAGGTTTCTATTTTAATAGTGCTTTTAAACCACACTGAATAGCCCTGTTTCACAGGAAAGAACTGTGCAAATGGGCTTTTGTGGCAATTAGCAGTTAGGACATAGATAGCAGAGGAGGTCAATGAGATGGGTACGTGCAACTGGGCCAGTGCTGTAATTGAAGTGCTTTCCTGACTTCACCAGAGGACCATCTGGTGACCTCATCTTACATGTGCACCCACCATGGGCTGATTTTCCAAAGGAGGACCTCTGAGCCCTCTCCTTGCCTCTCCTGGCAAGCAAGGCTTCCGGTATCTAGGAAGAAAGTTAAGATTCACTGTGGAGAAAACTCATTTCACTTGAGTTTCTGCCACTGCACTCAGGTAGAAAGCACTTTGAAGTCTTACCCTAACTCTGACAGCAGGTCTTCCTTCTCAGCATCACTGCAGGGACCAGACTGTCTTATCAGCCAAAAGTGCTGGCAGCTTGGTCTCTGATCTCATCAGGACAGCTGGCCTGCCTGCCCACTTTTCTTGCCAGAAACTAAATTCTTCCTGTAGTGTGGATGTGATCTCCAGTCGGAGACAAATTCCCTTCCACCAATAACCAAAAATGATTGCAGTATCTTCCTGTTTCTGGGGTGCTCCAGTTTTACACATGAGGTTTCCTTTTTACAACTTGATTCCCATCCACCCCTCTTTATTTTAATGAATTTTGCAGGAAAGCAAGAAGCCTTTGAGCACCTGTTGGGTTGGAGGCTAACAATTAAATTAAAAGCAAGATGCTAACATCAAGGATACCTGGTGGTTAGGGTGAGCTTTGCTGGACCCCAGTTTAAAGGGCAGAGTTCTGCAGACCCTTCTGGCCTGGGTCCCTCTTCCTTTGGTCTCCAGATGGTGCATTTCTCCCTTACTCATATCCTGCAATCCAAGTGACATCTTGTATTTCCTTTTAGCTTAGAGCACGTTGCTCTGTCTTTTGGGGTTTGAAATACAGTTAGGCTGAACTGGAAATTTTCATTTTCCTGCTATCTGCCATGGCAGCTTTATCTCTGTTAGGGAGGCCTTATTCTAGGGATAGCTCCGAGCAAACTTCCAGAAACAAAGAAGTCAGCAGTGGCTTGAATCAAATGGCACTTCCTTCTGCTGACTGGCAGTGTATACAGGGGCCAGGGATCCCCCAGTGAAACCCCAAGGATAAACACCTCTACACAAAGGGCAAAGATGGCATCTGATGGCTCACCCTTCCTGTTGTTCTTGATAATAATCCCACTGATCATGGGGTGCAGGTTGCTATAGTTATGGTAGGACGGCTAAACTGTAAGGGAACTGGGAGTTTATTCCTGGGAAAATCTGAGCTTGAGATATTGTATCACAGGCTCCCATAGTGCTAATAAAGTTTCCTAAGGCTCGATGAGCCGAGTGGTGTCTGTTCTCACTGTAGTATCCAGGGACCAGCTGTGAAGCCACCCTTCACCTCAGACTGCATGGGCACTGCAGCTACCAAGACCAAGAAATAATTTCACTCCTGCAAGATAGCACTCCATCTCCCTTATCCGGCCACTGGCCACAGGAATTAACTGTTTGCATGCCAAACCACACCCGAAGGGGCGTCCAAGTCCTAGGGGCTCTGATACAGAGATTTCTGTTCTGCCATCAGCCACCTTTAGTTTCTGTACTAAATATGATCACAGTGGTTCTGAGGAAAGCCTGGGAATAAAGGTACAGCTCTCTTATGTTCCCAAAATAGCTGCAATTAAATCCTTTCAGTATCTCGTTAAATATGGAAAACCTGCTTGCTGTGAATGCCTTACCCACACTAAAGGTCTACTCCACAGCAGGAATGGTGATGCCCTTACCGTACACATAGGAGATCCCCACGAGCTCAAAAATGGCAATGATGACGAGGGCATAGGAGGCAGCATACGTGTCCACAAGTTGAAACATGTAAATTCCACCCTAACAGGAGAGAGAGACAACCCACGTCAAATGGGCCCTGGAGCTCGGCTCTCTCTTTCCACTTCTAACAGCCAAGCTTCTCCATCCAGAGGAGGGTCAGGTGCAAACAAGCGTCAGAGGACCCCCCTCCTCTCAACAGCAGTAACCTAAACCTGGTCCAGTATGTAAACCAGAGGCCTTGCCAGGTTAGCAAAGCAATCCCTTGACAGTCTCTGAGCTAATCAATAGGACAAGCACAGAAAGGAGATTTGACATGCTATTCTTCAGAGACAAAGGTCAACATCTGAAGTTTTATCCGTGAAAGCAGCCACATTGCTTCGTTTGTACCTTAAGCCATCTATGATCATTTCCACCCAAGTGACTGCATTTGACTGACCTTCATATGACCTGTAGGTATCGCTGGCAATCTCACACATCCTCATGTATCTCTACCTCACTCTTTAAGTCTTCCTACAGTAGATGAGGCTTAGTGAGACCATCTCACTACATCATTTTATAGATGAAGAAACTAAGGCCCAGAGTAGTGACTTGCTCAAGGTCACAAAGACAACAATATAATACACTGGGTGAGCTAACATTCAACTTATCAACGTATTCAAGACTAGAAGAAAATCAAGTTGTTGCGGACTCTTATATATGATGAATAATCACCTGGAAATTTATCTGGTTAGTAAATTGGATTTTCATGTATTCTGCTTTCTTAAAGTAGGACACACCTGCCTTGTTGGCTCAAGGAGGTTACATCTCAATTATGAAGATGCTAGAAGCATCCCTAGTAGCCAAGATGACATATTTCTCTCTTCAGTCAGAATCCCTAGTGCACTGGTACCGTCTACATGGAAATGGCAGTGTCTTGGCTATGGTTACAAGATCCGAGAGCTAATGTAAAAGGATAGATAGCCATCAGCCTCACACACACCTGCCCCCACCCCAAGCCTGTGCCCAGCAGGCTGCTTACCTGAGTGATCATAGGAAAGCCCATGATGAAGAAACAAACGCAGCAGCCCAGAGTGAAGACTGGCTTGTGTGTGCGCAGGTACTTGGGGAACTCATCCGAGATGGAGGTAACTATGGTCTCGATGGTGGCAAACTGAAATGGTCAAAAGACGGGCATCTGAGTCAAACTGTCCCTCCAAAAGCTTCCAAAAAGCCCTTTGTGTGTCCCACTCAGTAAAGATTTATTTGTACTAGGTTCAGTTTTTAGGATAGCGTTCCCTTGAGGAATCTGAAAAGCCTTGTTAGGGTCCAACCCGCAAGGCCAACAAGGAGAACCCAAGCAGGATGTGAGCTTTAGAAACTGTGCTTCCGGTCCCCAGAGGCTGCACTGATATCCACCCATCAGGACATTTTAAGCTTTTCTTTGTATTCATGAGATATAAATTCCTCTCCTCCTGTTTACCCTGCATTTGATCTTCTACTGGAGGAAAAACCCTCTTTGCACCCAACAGCTAAACTCTGAGCACCTTTCAGCATGATTTGTAGTAGTCTCAGCCCCACAGCAATTTTCCTAAAATTGACTTCATATTATTCTCCTTTATCCAGCCCCACAGAATCTGCTTTCACAAAATGCTGCCAAGGCATGAAGTATGCAGGCTAGCACTTGGCATGGAGAGCAGAGAGAAGAATAGAGGGAGACAGAATGGCTCCTCTGCACCATCGCCTGAGCACCCACAAATATGAGGCTATCCTGAGCCAGAGACCGGCGCCTCACTATCCCTCCATCCTCCAGGGAAGATGCTCGGGCACCCCTAAGCCCACCCTCTGGACCCAGGACCCAGGAGAGGGGGTCTTCAGAAAGACCCCAGGACAAGGATCCATGGGAAAGGGGCTCACCATAGTGTCAAGTCCAAGTGTAAGGAGCATCAGGAAAAAGATGATGGCCCAGAACGGAGAGAGCGGCAGCCTGGTTAAGGCCTCGGGGTAAACCACGAATGCGATGCCTGGTCCTGGGAGGAACAAGACAAGCGATTGCCCCCATCTCAGAGCCCACAGGCCCGCTCCGTACTGAGCTCCTGAGTCATTGCTTATTATAGGCTGCTTCGTCTGTTTGCTATTTTTTTACTCATGTCCATCCATTTTCCCAATTAGAGACATTGAGCTCCTTGAAGGGAAGGACCAGAGGAATTAGTCCACACCTAGGGGGACTCAGAGGAGAGGCTTGAAAATAATCAAAGCAGAGGCCAGAGCCACCAATTCAACTCAACTCCAAGGCCAGGCTGTGTCCTATGCAAATAACACGATAAACTCCTCTTTTGTACTGGAAAAGTTGGGGGAGAATATAATAATTACCTTCCTGAGTGGTGGATCTCAACCAGGGTTGATTTTTGCCCCATAGGGAATATCTGATAATGATTGGAGACATTTTTTATCATCATAAATGGGTTAGCAGTGGGATGATTACTGGCATCTTGTGGGTAGAGGCCAGGGACACTGCTAAACAGCCTACGAAGCGCAGAACATCCTGCTACCAACAAGGTATTATCCCAACCCAAATGTCAGTAGTGCTGAGGTTGAGAATCCCTGCTCTCAAGGTCAGAACATGACCAGAATAGCATTATTTCCCCCTTTAACGACTTTTTCTCTTTGTCAGTCCTCCAGGAGAAGCCATTCACATAAAGCAAGAATCCAACAGTTTTAGGATTTTGTCCTACTTGGTAAAGATGAGGCTTCATCAGTCCACAGGTAATTAGTTGGGGGACAGGAGCAGTGATGCATAGTGCAAGGGTTAAGACAGATATGGTCCAAATTCAGATTCCACGACTCACCAGCTGTGCAACCTTAGACAAGTTATTTAAGTTCTATAAGCCCCAATTTTGCCCATCTGTAAAATGGGGATAATGATAGCACCTCACAAGGTGATTATAAGGAACAAATGAGAAAAAACTGATAAAACACTGAGCCCAGTGCCTCACACATCATCAGCACTCACAGAATATTAAATTTTATCATGAGTAGACTTGTAATGAACTTGGAAGTTGGCAGTTCTGATTCAGGTTCTCCCAGGAATACTGCATGTAGTCTTGGTAGGAGATGTCTGAGCAGTTTTCTCTGCTCTCCTGAAGCCCTGACAGTCATTCCTACCCACTGCATGTCCTCACTGGGAAGATTACTGCAACCAAACACAGCTAAAGACATGGCGGTTGTGAATTTCCTTGTAAGTAGAAAACCAAATGATGATGGGCAGAGACGACTGAATGTGGGCACCGGGTAATCCACAGCCGGCGCACGTCTGGAAACCAGAAATTGCAGTACCTGGAGTTTTTATAACTCAAGCATAACAGCACTTTTAAAAACTAGAATTTATCAGGTTTTTAGTCCCTAATGTTGCTTAAGGCCTTGGGGCATTTAAAGTATAAAGCTTCACATGCCTAACATACCCTCACTTTATGCATTTATTGAACAGACTGTATAGCCAGCCTCTGAAGGCTCCCTATGTGAACCATAAAAGAAAACTCTGCATTAAACTACAGTTCAAAATAGGTCTCAAATGCAGAACAACCAGGAAGCCAGTTCAGTGCTGTGGCAACAGTCAGGCCCATAACACCAACAGGAAGGTCTTGATGGCCACTATCAGAGGACCTTAACTGCTTGCTTTAACAGGATTCAGCCCTTTGGGCTATACTGCTTTAGGAATGGAGGAGTGATTTCAAAATATTCAGGCTGCTTCAATTTCAGCTGCCTCCCTAAAGTACCCAGATGAAGGCATATTTTCAAGCTACATTACAGCAAACTCCACTTTTCCAAGGTGACTGGGGAGTGCAGTCCTCTAGTGAATATTCAAAGCAGTATATAGTCTATCTGATGGAGGCCCATCCCTGTCTTTCTTCTCTCCCTCTGGGAGGCAGTACAGCCCAGTTGCTGAAGTTCAGGCTCCATTCCCCATGGAGGAGAAAACAGGCCATGCCTCTTACTAGCCACGGGACCTTAGGTCAGTCATTTGCTCTCTCTGGACAAACTTTAGTTTCCTTATCCATGCACTGAAGATCATAATAGCACCTCCCTCATAGAGTTCCTGTGAGAATTGAGTCACAATAAGTAAAGGGCTTAGATAATGCCTGAGCATAGCAGGGACGCAGAAAGCATAGACCACTATTAATCTCCCCCTGAGAGGGAATCACAGGGGCTCTGCAGGTCGGCAACTTGGACAGATTCCCCAGAAACGCTACAGCGAGAGCCACCTTTATCCTAAAGCACCACTGAACACTGAGCTCTGGTCACTGCAACACATCAAGACTGCAGCACAGCTTGGATGGCCACTCAGCTGGGACACCTATTACAGTAGAATGAGTTCTCTGAGGACACACCACCTGAACTCCCTTGCCCTTGGGTGGAAAGGCTGGGATCCAGGTGATGGGTGGATGGTTGGATGGGGGCTGGGATGTCAGTTCTGTTTGATAGTGAGAGATCAGTCACTTTGATTAGGAGGTTCTCTGAACTATTAGGGGGCAAAAGAACCAAAGCAGCACTTCCTAGCAGTGTGGTTAACTGGGAGTTACCAATGTATACCCGGGAACTCTAAATAAAATATGCATGTTTGTGCTCATGTACTTTTCTGCTGTTGGATAAACATCTTTGCTTCATAGGTAGCAACGCAGATGGACAGGAGAGGGCTCTGGAAGGCGATGTCCCTGTACGCTGCTTTTCTGGAGTAGATCCCTGGGAAGAACATGCTCCCTTCCCTACGCCTATTGTACAAGCACAGGATAGCATGGTTTCATCCTCAGTCCCATCCACAGCCCCTCAAAATTCTGAAATACCTGAGATTTGGGGTGATAATTTTGACAGAGATGGTTCCCTTAGAAGGGAGTGGTAAACTAAATAGGGTCATTGAGGTGTTGGGTCATTGAGGAGAATCTGTTTTTGACTAAAGACCAAAACTTAGTTACCAATGGTGAGCCAGCAAAAAATGTACTCAATGTCTATATGCCAATGTTGCCCAACTGGGAGGGAGTGGGGTTAGGATTTAATGCAGGCCTGACCCCAAATCTCTACCCTGTATTCTGCAGAGCCTCCACTATACTGGGAGAAGTAAGACAAGCCTGTAGAGCATATATAAGAATATATGCCAGTTCAGATGAGCAGGAATAACTTCCCTCAGGGGTCTGGGAGAAGTTCTCATGGGCCACTGCTCCTTCCCCTGTACAGAATGAGGCCCACTGCCCCTGTGCTGGAGACCAAGTGCTAACACAACAGGTTAGTATCTGTTAGACATGTTCTTCCTGTTAAAATCAGAGGAAGTGAAAAAATACTGGAAAAAGGAAATTTCAGAGGGAGAAACAGGCAGTTGTCTGCTACTTTTTACATACAGGATAAATTCTACTTGAGTTTTAGCAACACCTCCCCCCAAATCCCTTTCCCAGGACAGAAAAGAGCTCAGAACAGTTAACTAATGTGGCACATGTCTCAGGAATCATTACCACTGGCAGTTCAGTCATTGGTTCCCAACGAGCTCAGTAATGTCACAAAAAGTAGCAAAATGCCTCAGATCTGCTAGGAAGTGGGGCAGAATCTATCAGCTCCAGCATCTCTGCTGGGAGGAAATGAGGTTACAGGACAGCTGGGGGTGGCTCAGGCACCCCTGAGGACGAAGCCTTCTCACTCTCTTTCCCTCCCTGCTCCCATGGAGTTCCAGAATTTTCACCCAGGGAGGGGCATTTGCTCAGCTCCCCTGGTCCCTCTAATTTAGTGCACTGCTGCAGAACCAAACATCCCTCGGGGTTTCACACTCTCTCCAGGGAGAGATAATTACACCTGTTTGAGGTGCCTGGTGCACTATCAACATGAGCTGAAGCAGTAACTAATTATCCTCGGGGAGCCAGAAGAGACCTAGCAGCCCACCAAAAAGGTGACCTTTCTAGGGCTTAGTTCTCCCACTGCACCTGAGCTACTATCTGAAAATCACAGTGAGCTCCTTGAAGAGGCTCTCATGGGTATACCTCTGTATTGTCTAGGTAGGGCCCACAGTCATGCCCACAGCACCTGGCAGTACCAACACACCCAGGCATCCCATAATATCTGATTAGGGAATGAGATCATAACAATAAGCAATAACCACAATGAACTCCCTCAATCAACAAAACCTAGTAAATATCCAAACCCTTAGTAGAACTAGGCTGGGTGGAAACAAAGAGTTAAATAAAAATCCTAAACAGTCTCTCTGCAAAATGCTGTCCTGGAAATATGGATTAAATAGAATAAAAAATGAAAACTCTTTGTAAACTCGAAAGTACCATACAAATGTTAGCCATTAATGTAAGGATCACTTGGGTAGAGAGTAAACATTTATTCCACATACCCCACCACCCACCCACCCACCATTCAACCTTTCTACCCACTGGAGAAAAAATTGCACGTCTGCATTGCTAACTAAGCAAAAGGCCCTGAGAACACATTTGACCTAACAACGATTGGGAAAATGCTTTGTAAGGAAAAGGCTCCTCTGAAGTCAGTGCTTTTATTAAGTGTTAGTGCTCAGTTTCTACGAGGCCCTCTGTGAGGAAAGTCATCCTCTGGCTGCCTGTGCCAATATCAGCTCCAGGGGCAATGGTTTGCCTAATGTCTGATGAATCCTTCACTGTACTGAACAGGTATAACAGGTATAGGCCTTACTTACTCAGGCTGGAGAGGAGAGGGAAGAGGAAAAGGGGGCTTTTAAAGCAATTCCTCTGATTAGAGACCAGCCAGCTCTTATCCTGCAGTGATCTTCCTACCCAAACATGTCTTAGTCCCTCTGTAAAGGAGGACGTGGGCTCCCCTGCCCTCCATCCTGTTCCAGAAGGCCAACTTCCCAGCATAGCATAAATTAGGAGTTTGTGAGGTGAGCCTGGAACCTGCCCAGCAACAGCAAGGTGACAGTTGCCCTGTACCTTGGTCCGCCACGTTCTCAATGTTGACTTTGCGTTCATTGGCCATGAAGCCAATAACAGAGAAGATGACGAAGCCAGCAAAGATGCTCGTGGCACTGTTGGTGCAGGTTACAATTAGAGTGTCCCTGGAAGGAAAACAACAGAGTTTGCCATTAGGTGTGCTTCCTGGGTGAGAAGGAACGAGGAGAAGAACACACAAATGTGTTTCCGTGTGTTTGTGTGCACATGTGTACACGTGTGCATGCATGTATGTGTCCATTTCTAAACATGTATCCACTGAAGGAAAGAAACAAGCAGTCCTAACCACAGACTCCCTTGGGCTGATTTACAAAGCACCAACAGGCTCAAAAAGATGTCCCCTAAATGCCCTGATCCAGGGCACTGTGACAAAGCTCTGGCTTCACATGCTGTAGATATGGGTCTCAGCTTATCTACTACGGTCTGAATGTTTGCATCCTCCCCCCAAAATTCATATGTTCAAACTTAATCCCCAATGTGATAGTACTAAGAGGCGGGGGCTTTGAGGAAGTAATTAAGGGATGAGGGCTCAGCCCTCATGAATGGGAATAGTGCCCTCAGAAAAGAGGCTGGAGGGAGCAAGTTTGTCTCTTCCGACATGTGAGGACACAGCAACAAGGTGCCATCTTTGAAGCAGACATTGAGCCCTCGCCAGACATTAAATCTGCTGGCACCTTGATCTTGAACTTTCCAGCCACCAGAACTGTGAGCAATAAATTACTGTTGTTTATAAATTACCTAGTCAAAGGTATTTTGTTATAGCAGCATGACAGGCTAAGACATCATCCCAGAGGCACGGGCATATCTGTCCATCAAAGCAGAAATTGAGGGGATGGGGCTTTGGCAGTATCCAGGACAGGAACCATGTGTGAGGAAAGAGAAACCAGTGGGAGAGTAAAATGCCACCAAGGTAAGAGGGCAGCCTGGGATTGGGGGACACAGGGCTGAGAAGGGCAAGGGGGGAGGAGAGGGGAGAGAGCCCAGCCTCTCTGCCTTCATCCCAGAGCCCTCTGCTGCCAGGATGGCCAGGGTTTCCCAGCCTGCCTATAAGCCACCCTAGACTCAAATGCAAGGTCACAGCTAGATGGAGCCCAGTGTTACACTGAAATCCTGATTCTCCCTCCTGTTAGCAGTAAGACCCTGAGCAAGTTGCTTCCTTTCCACTCTGATTTAACGTGGTGGCAATGAGCCTACCTCCCTCACAGGGTGCATGAGGACAGAACACGATGATTCCTGCACTGCACACAGCCTGGCATGGAGCAGGTACACAGTAAATGATCCATTTTGTGGAGCCCTTAGTTCACTAATGAGGAAACTGACGCCCAGGGGAAGGTAATGAGCTAATTAACAGTACATCAGGATTTGAATGCAGACTTTCTAGCTTTTAGCCAGGGTCCTTTCTGCACA